ATGTACTCTAGTATACTGAGCAATTATCTCCGTATACTACTGGTTGACTTTATACAGGGCAGGAATGGACATTTCCATTTACTAGGCTATATCTTTCTTCAGAATAAGTCTCATCAATTTGCGCACTTCAGTAGCTGTTCTCCATAATTATACCTGTGTTCCTGCTAAATATGACAGCACTTGGAGTAACTTTGTGTGGAACATTTGCAGATTAAAGATGAGGCAGTCAGTGCCGCCATTTTTGTCATTCCTTTATGTATGTATGATAATTTTTTTACTTTTTGAATGGTTATATCTAAATTTCAAACAATTTTTGACAAATTGCGCACTTATTTTGTGAAAGTACAACATTTTTACTGCCCAATCATGCAAAAAAGATAAAGAAATTCAAAACTTTGTTCGGTACTTTAGTCTTCTAAAGGTGAAATAATTTTAATCGTCTCAGTGATAACGGGTGCAGCAACAAGAGTGAACAAGTGCTTTTCTCTTCTCACGGGAATAATAAAGTAAAACTAAGAGTGCTTAACAGCTATACAAGCAAATCATGTCTCTAGATCCTTTTAAAGTAATAACAAGAAGGCCTTTTGTTAGTGGATGAGTCTTCTTGCGCCACGCCTGCCACTTTAACAATAGAATATGAAAAGACTACCATAACCAATTGCATTAAGTAGCATTCAAGAAGCTCCAAGTATCTAGTGAAGTCCCATCCATGAACCAGAAAGACGTTAGCAGGCTTTGTAGTGAAGCTTCCTATCAATCCACCATTGCTGAGCTGCCGTTGCTATGGTAATTCCAATGAATATCATTAAATTAATGCGACCGGAAGTCCCATTGCAATAGCTGGACATGCAAGGCCTTGGAGGCAGTTAGCAAGGGCTCCACAGTAAGAAGAGCAGCTGAGGACTATGGTGTGCCACGATCGACACTTCATGATCGGATTCATGGAAGAGTCATTGATGGAACGAAGAGTGGACCTAGGAAATATCTCACCGCCTCGATAGAAGAGGAGCAGTTGGTATCACATCTTCAAAATTGCTCTTCTATTGGATATGGGAAGTCAAGAAAAGATACCCTTGCGCTTGTTCAAGCTGTCATAGATAAAAAAGGTATTGATACACAAGTGTCATCAAGCTGGTTGAAGTCATTTGCCTCGAGGCATCCAGAACTGAGATTGAAGACCGGTGAATCAATATCAAGAGCTAGGCAAATTGGAGCATCAAAAGAAAACTTGGAAAACTACTTTGATTTACTGGAGCAAACACTTATTGATAATGATTTGATTCATAGGCCTTGCCAAATTTTTAATACAGATGAAACTGGTGTCCCACTAGATCCAAAGCCTCTTAAAGTTTATGGTACAGTTTCTCAGAAGAATTTTTACTCTGTTTCTTCTGGCACCAAGGCTCAAATAACAGTACTGGCATGCGTCAGTGCTGGTGGTCAATGCTTGCCGCCAT